TATATAATAAGTATATAACTAAACCGATTTAAAATTTATTTAATGTAGATCTAACATATAGTTCATATTGTTTAAAAATATTTAAGTAATTAGCAAAAGTAAACTCTTATGCATTAATAAAAACACGTTTTTTTTCTCTCTATTTTTAATTGGATATAATGAGCTTGTATGTTTAAATATTATTCAAAGAAAAATTATTTTTAATAGAATTATTTTTTAAGATATTTGATTATGTATTGTGCCAATTTTTTCTTTCAAAATAAGTAGATTTCTATTTTACTTATGAAATAAACTTTATCTATTTTTAATTTTTTTAAGTGTGTATTTTATAATATTTTAAAATTCAAATAAACTAACAAATATGTTAGACATTCTACTTAAAATATGTAAAAAAAAAAACATTTTATTTAAAATCAAAATTTCATCTCAATACTTAATTATAAAACTTCAAATAATATTAAACTCAATCACTTAAAAAAAAAAGTTTCAGATTTATACCTTATATATATATATATATATAACATAATTATTAGAGGAAGTTTTGTTAAAAATGATGAATCCGTCATAATTTTTAAAATTGATAAAGTTGGTGATAAATGATAATTCGTACTAATAATATTATTATAATATATATAAACCTTAATTATAGTAAAATGAAAGGTTTAATAAGGTAAATCGAAACGGTGGCGTTTGGATTTTGACGGGTTTAAACTGTGTGTATCTCCCGCTCTCACTTTCTCTGCACTCACTCACTCACTCACTCACGCTCCGCTTTTATTACTACTCAGCTTTCCTTTTCTGAGTTTCTCACTCTCTCTCTCTCTCAATAACAAACACTGTAAGCCTTTTTCATTCTTCCCAATTCGTTACGATTCTCCCTCACAGATCTATGCATTTGAATTTCGAATTCATGCCACCCCTTACCTCTTCTCATGCTGTGATTTTCAGGTTCATCTTTGAGGCATGAACCATGATGGATAAAGAGTGCGGTGTTCGGGTCACTCGAGCAATGGCTAGAGCCTTCGGAAGGGTTTCTGCCTCTTCAAGGCCTTCCTTTAAAAGGGAAACGAAAACCAAACCTTCTTCTTCTTCTTCTTCTTTTGATGGCAAGAGGGTAGTAGTAGTACTTGGTGATGTTACAAACATTAGCAGAAAATCACTGAAAAAGTGTGTTGCGAGTGAGACATCCAAAGTTGAGGTATGCAGTGTAAGTGCAAGTGTATGACTCACTGTTTTGTTTTGCAAAGGTGCCATTCATCCTTAAAATGTGAATAACCCAAATGGGTAAGTGGGCAACATAGTTTGGAGGCCCTTGTTTTGGATATGTGTTGTGATACATTTATATGAAAGTGTGAAAGGGATGAAAAGTTTGTTGACTTTTATGATAATTATCTTTTAGAGTTATATAAATCGTGATTTCTGATTGATTGACTGTGTAAACTTTTTTTATATTCTGAGAGGGTAATGATCATTAAACCCTATTGTATTTGTGTGAAGTTAGTTCTTAATTTGTTATATTCCAATACGTTAGTTCTTGTATTTTCATTTGATCTTTAAAGAGGACTAGCTGAATATGGATTTTGTAAATATTATTAGGAACTCGAGTATAGAATTAAATTCAGGGAATGGAGTGCAATTGAAGAATGGTTTTAAGTTGTCTGGTATTTAGTGTAATTTTTAAGTGAGTTGGTGATATTGGTTAACTGTGCATTATATAGACGAGAGGAGGTTATAAGAAGACAATCACAGAGGGAGCTTCTGGTGTCTCCACGCAAGTTTTGTCAACCCAAGAAGATGTTAGAGCAAAGTTAACCAAAGATTTGTCCACAGCATCGATGGTACAGTCACATGGCACTGTTGTATCTGAAAGACCGGAAGACAGAATGTTAGTGCAACCTTGTATGTCAAGGGGCATTAGAGGAGGTCTTATGGCGGGTTCCCTGCTTTTAATGCAGGGCTCTATGAAATCTGATGAATTCCCTAGCTCTTCATACAAAGGTTTTTTTTAATAATCTTATGTGTCACTGCTAGTATGCATTAATAAACTGTAGACATGCGATTTTTGAGATAATGATTATAAAATTGACATTTACAATTGCACTTTTGTGGTTGAAAATGAGGGTAACTGTTTCTTTGTAACACATGTTTGTGCCTTTTTTTCTTTTATGTCTTCATTTTTAATTATTTAGTCGCATGTATAAATTTTTTTGCAGTTTATCAAAGTATCATGTTGAATTTTGTACCATATATATTACTTAGAAGTACGGCATGCTGTCTGACTACAGGCTTTAATATAGAAGCTATTGATCACTTCACCTGATGGCTATTTATGTGTTTGTTTTGTTGCTGATAATATGAATTTAATTTAAATGTAATGATAGTGTAAGGGCCTAGATAAATTTCTGCTTAAACACTTCTAGTAGAAAAAAAAAAATGACAAACTTTTTCATAAGCTAAAATTAGCTTATTCATAAGTTAAAACCATATTTAAGAGAAACTAACATGAGTTTAGCTTATCCATAAGTTAAAAATATATTTAAGGGAAACTAATATGAGAGAACTTTTACAAATTAGATTATATATAAATTACTTTTAATAATTATAGTCTGTCAATATGTCAAATGATAAAATGGTTAACTCTTGTAAATTGTAATAACTACTTTAAAAATCATAGCTAGGATGACTTTACACTGACATTGCATGAAAAATAAACTTTACACTGACATTGCATGAAAAATAAACTTTATACAAGGAATTTTCGACAAAAATTCAATATTCACTGTAAAGATAACGCAAGTTAGCATTTCGTAAATTACTTTTTATTGGATTATGCAGACATTGATATAATTTCTGAGAAACTAAAACCTTCAGATGGTTTGGGCATTGTGGACATTGATTCAGTGGAGTTAAAGGATCCTCAAGTTTGGAGTTCATATGCCCCTGATATATACAAAAATATATGTGTCAGAGAGGTTAGTGTTGTAGAAATGTCATTTTATATTTGGATTATTGCTCCTATACTATTTTCTTTTAACGTGATTAGTGACAAATGACAATGTTGTGGCTTATTAACATTGTTATGATTTCTGTTTTTATACTATTTTCTCAGGGTGACTGTCTGAGTGCATTATAACATTCTTTTAAAAAGTGGAGCGCGCATATTTATTCACTAATATTGTAATTTTGTTGCATAAAATAAATCTTAAAATAAAACTAAGGTAGAGCATAGCAAAATAAGTTTCTCTTCAAAATTTTGGTTAATTCTTTCCAGTTTGAAAGGAGATCGTTATCAAATTACATGGATGAGTTGCAGCAAGATATCAATCCAAGCATGCGGGGAATTCTGATTGATTGGCTTGTGGAGGTCAGTCTCATGGCAGTTTTCTATATCTATATTACTCGACATCTTTAGCTTGTCCTTTTGGCACTTGATGCAAATCTCTTATATAATGCTGTTGTTAAACTTCCTGAATGTATGTAATGTTTGGTTTTCTTTACATGTACCCTCCCTAGATCCCATCTGGTGGATGCCTCATGCATTGGGTCACCCTTTTATCAAATTTTCATAAGTTAATCTCAGAAAAAGGATTCCCTGGTGTACGTCAAGTGGGAATAAGAAAACTGTATTCTAATTTCTAATCCAAGCTTATTTTTCTTCTCCAAGTAATAGTTTTGCTTTTGCAAGTTCATAAAATATTTAAAAACATTTATTGTTTCTCTTTTGAGTCTGGTGTTACATTTTGCTACTTGACTTAAATGTCATCACAAGCATTATCGCCATGCTTCTCACTATTATGCACAAAAAATCTTGTTAATGCATTCTCATGGATAGTTTTCAATGAAAACAGTTGAATAATTGATACCGAGAAGAATTGGATCTTTATAACTTATTATCCGTGATAAAGGCACATTAGAAATAAAAAGAAAATCTTTAATTACTGTTAGCTGAGTTGCTTTAATCTTTGGCTGCTGAATGGGTTAGCTTAAGCTTTATGATATTTGCTTTTCAGGTTTCTGAGGAATATAAGCTTGTTCCAGACACTCTTTACCTTACAGTAAATCTCATTGATCGGTTTCTTTCTCAGAGTTTGATTCAGAAACAAAGGCTCCAATTGCTGGGTGTTACATGCATGCTGATAGCATCGTAAGTACAATACTTTATACATGTCTGCTTGGCCCTGATTAGGTAACATTCATGTTCTACATGCTCTACTTTAAACTTTTTGATGCTTCTCTCTGAACCAAAAACTAAGAATGTCGACGCATTTTATAATAAAATTGGTATTGCAATAGATTTTACATCCCCAATCCAGTAGGATGACAAGTTGATTATTGTTATTTTACATAGTTTCTTATATAATTACTTTATTGGTAGATCTTTAACTTGTATTTGTTTGTTCCGTTACAGATTTCACATTTATTCTCATTATTCTCTGTGATAATGTTAACAAGGTTGTAAGGAAATTATATTTGGATTTCCATTATAAATCTGCAACTCCTGGAAAATGTCTAATGTGTTTCTGTTTGTGCTAGGGTCCAATTGCAGATTTCACATTGTATAATTTTATTCTCTATAAGATAATGTTAACAAGGTTGTAAGGAAATTATATTTGGATTTCCATTATAAATCTGCAACTCCTGGAAAATGTCTAATGTGTTTCTGTTTGTGCTAGGATCCAATTGCAGATTTCACATTGTATAATTTTATTCTCTATAAGATAATGTTAACAAGGTTGTAAGGAAATTATATTTGGATTTCGATTATAAATTTGCTACTCCTGTCAAATGTGTAATGTGTTTGTGCTAGGATCCAATTATAATTCATGGGACTTGAGTCTCACATTGGAAGTAAAGGATTCTAGTGTGGGGTTTGTAAGGCTTTGGCCTCTTCAACCGCAATGCTAGTGACGTGGTTCTCCCAAGTTTTTTTTTATCAGTTTTGAAAGTGGTAGCATTTTTGTTTTGTTTTGCTTTGCTATTTTTACGCAGCTGTGACTGTGAAGAGTTAGAATATAGCCAAATTGCTGTATTATTATTTATTATAGACAATTTTGATCTTGAATACACTTGGTGAATCTAATAGGGACAACTGATAATGTATGATATGATCTCAGTTTTTTTCAATTTCGTGAGGAAATTCTAAATTGATTGTCATTCTTTCTAATGGCTTTAAGAAAGTATGAAGAGATGTGTGCTCCTCGAGTAGAAGATTTTTGCTTCATCACCGATAATTCGTACACAAAAGCAGAGGTAATAACATTTTGTAGTACTTGTGGAACCTTCATATTTCCAAATTGTAATCATTATGGCTGATAGTGATAGATAAAACACCTGATCATTGGCACTTGACAGGTATTGAAAATGGAGAGTGAGATTCTAAATGTATTGCATTTTCAATTATCTGTTCCCACCACTAAAACATTTCTCAGGTGCGTATTATACATGCAATTTTCATTCAAATGATGTTACTAAGCATATCCAAGACCGAATGTCGTGATGCATGTGTTTTTGCAGATGATGTAAGGTATGCTTGTTTTACATGTTTCCCACTTTCCTAGGCACGTTGAACGTCAATCCCACTCTCACTTGTCATTGGCGTTCAACGTGATTAAACGGGTACACGCATACACACTAATAGTTGTGGTTCGAGAGCTGAGACTGAAAATAAATGGGTAGTTAAAAATGTGGAGATAAGCTATGGAAGTACATGACTTTTGTTTAAGTAGAAGTAAGACAAAATACATGAAATGTAAGTTAAGTAGAAAGCCATTAATCCTAACTTGGAGGTGAAAATTATCAACCATACCATAAGTCACTCAGTTCGACAATATGGACTCCATCATTGATCAAACTAAATGATGGAGATTATTAAATCATAGGATAAGTATGTGGATGAAATGGAGGAGTGTTTCAAGTGTTGTTTGTAACTAACAGGTACTCAAGCTTAATAGAAAATTTTACTGCATAAGACCTATGATATTTGGTAGTAAAAACCAACAACAGAATAAACTCGATGTAGTGGAAATGAGAATGTTGCGTTGGATAAGCGGACATACTTAACGTGACATGATTAGGAATGAATGCGTTATAATGTGGAGTTGCGTTTATTGTAGATAAGATGGTAGAAGCTCACCCTAGGTGGTTTAGGCTTTTGATCAAAGAGATATAAAAGCCCCATCAAGAGAGTGGATCTGATGGAGGATGACTCAACCACCAAAGGCAAAGTGAGATATAGAAAAATAGTAGGAAAAATCCTTCAGAAAGAGAGGTAAATAGTTTGTGTATAAACGTGGTTTACAATATAACATGACATCATTTGATCCCCAGCCAACCCCGCCTCATGGGGAAAAGATTATTAGTTTTTTTTTTTTTTTTTTTTTTTTTTTTTTTTTTTTTTTTTTTTTTTTTTTTTTTTTTTTTTTTTTTTTTTTTTTTTTTTTTTTTTTTTTTTTTTTTTTTTTTTTTTTTTTTTTTGTGTCCTTGCGTTGTTTTTCATTTAAGCATAACTGAACAATGACAATCTTGTCTGGCTTTCAGGAGGTTTATCCTTGCAGCTCAATATTCTTACAAGGTACTAAAGGCTGTAGTTGCTATTAAACATCCATAATTTTAACCTTTTATTTGGCCCAAAAGGAAAACAAACAAAACTAATTTGATTGCAAAATTTTCCGTGTTATACAGGTTTCTGATGCCGAACTGGAATTTCTGGCAAATTATTTAGCAGAGCTTACTCTTGTTGAATACAGCTTCTTGCAGTTTCTACCTTCCCTGATAGCTGCATCTGCTGTATTACTTGCCAGATGGACCCTCAACCAGTCGGAACATCCATGGGTCTGTTCTTTATAATGACTACTTGCAAGTTAGCATTTGCCTTGTTTGGATGTCAATAAATTTGAGGACTCACCTGTGCAATTATTTGCAGAATTCAACTATGGAACACTATACAAATTACAAAGTGTCAGAGCTTAAAACTACTGTCCTTGCACTGGCAGATTTGCAACTTGATACCAAAGGCTATTGTTTGAATGCTATACGTGAAAAATATAAACAGCAAAAGGTTAGAGAAATGCATTTGCCGAAAGATGACTCCAATTGCTATATATCATGTCACAAGCCTTTGTTCTGCTTTCTTTAACCTAGTCTCCATCAGATTAAACTAAGTTAGTTTTAGCTTATTGAAGATGCTCATGACATTGAATTTTGCTTCCTATGACAGTTCAAGAGTGTGGCAAATTTGTCTCCGAAACCGGTGCAGTCACTTTTCCAGGCTCAAGTATAAATTGTAAATGGCATATCTGAAGACTAAATATTGACTTCAGGAATTTCTGATACAGGAATGGTGTATCGCTGGTTGTAATTATTTAACCATCTAATCATTGTTAATTCTCAATTAAGGTCTGATCAGTAGTTGTAACTTGTAGGATGGTACCAAACTCAGGTGCTTCCGGATCTCCTTGTAACGTGAAATTGTTACATCATGATAAGTCAAAGTAGATAATTGTAGTTCTAGCATCTATTTTAGACTCCATTTTCAGTAAGCCTTTAGGCAACAAGCTATGCAACTGCTCAAGGTTACTTTTGTATTGTATCAACCATTCGTGTGTAATAAAAATTGGCCGTGAAATTGGTGATATTATTTCATCTTTTATTTTATATGACTTGCAAATAGACGACATTGCTGCATCTTAAAGGGCATTTTACAATATTAATAAGGATATAACCATAATGACTATATTTTCCCCTAATTGAATCATTCATTTATTATCAAAAATTCGAACATGTGATTTTCAAAGACATTTTTTCAAAATAACTTTTTATGGATATATTAATTCTTATACATTATATTTTTCCTCAATTTTTATAATAATACATGTTAATATTATCATATTTGGTTTTTAAACAATAGCAATATTTTGCTTAATTAAATACTTGTGACGTTTTGTGCATCTAACTAGCCAGTAACTGTTAAACTTGTAAATACTTGTGATTGCAATTAAAAAAATATATATAAAATCCAACGACTAAATTCAAATCAATTTCTGTTATCATAATTATTACTTAATCTCAGGTGGGTTTGTTAGCGTTAATACTGCACTGTCTAGCAATTTCAAGGTAATGATGCTGGATAGCATGAATCCTTGATTTAGCAAGACTTGCGCCTGCTGACTGTAATGAAAGTACAAATAGGACATACACAAAAGATTTTGGAAATTAACTTGTACAGAAAATGGTTACAATTACTGCATGTTCCTCATCATGTATACTACCACATAGTAGCAATCAAAACCCTCTCACTCAATCTGGCTACCAGAAGCATTATAAAAACATTGGATTCAGAAACAAAATGTCACTCCTAATAACCAGTCATTCAACATTTCTTGAGATTTTCCACCATAACACGAGGCAAGTGAAAAAAGGATTGATAATCCAACATGCAATGCAAATCAGGACACTAAAACTGCAGTATTCCCAATTACAGGCCTGAGACTGGCTGCATGTTCAAGTTGTTTCCACGCCTCCTTTCGCTTCTCTGCTGCTGAGATCAAGATTGCTTCTTCTTCCTTAAAGTGATTATGACAAGAAATGAAGAGCTTTTCATCCATCTCCAAGAACATCTTTCTAATATTGTGAGTTAGGTTGATAACTGCCGGGTTCCAATGGCTTTGAACATTCCTATCTAAAGCTGGAAATATGATAGGCAGGATCACTTGACGGTTATGTGCAATCAAGTTGACAATGTGGTCATTGTTCCATAAGAAAAGGGCCCTTTCAGCTACCTGCAACAATCCATGTTGAACAGAAAAAGAAAATGTTTTTTCAGCTATTAACAAACACATCCATGGAAACAAATGATTCTCAAAAGTATGGTTACAAGTGTATTAAGGGAACAAAAACAGCTTCCTTTCCCCGGGGTTAAGGAATATGGAATTTGTAGAAACAGAAAGAATATTTATCCTCATTCCCATAAAACTTTAAGATCCAACTGGAGTTTGCAAATGAACTCAGGATGACAAGAGTGACAAGATGCTTTCATATCCTATCATAGACTTAATTAACACAATCTAATTAAGCATCTTGCACATATAAATCTCCCAACAGAAGATGCAATAGATATTATCTTGAAACCAAAGTAAAAGATTATCAAGCAAAGAACCATTTACTGTATGTCCCCAATTGATGTTTGTTCCATCATCAGTACAAATTCTCTTTTAAACAATCAATAAAAAATACACGACCTTATGTATAAGAAAAAAGTCCAAGTTCAAACTTCCAATAAGATCAGATAAGTTATCAATTTTTTTGGTGTACAATGGCAGCAATAGGATTTGACGTTTTGAACATAAGACTTGATCCAAACTATTCAAACTTCTTACCACTAGGTCGACCTTAGTAGGTTTATATATGTAATTAGTTTATTACCATTATAACTCAATTTCAAGTCAGTAACTGAGCTACCATCTTACAATACATTCACAGCAGGAAACAAGACTGTTTCCCAAAAATCTGAATCCTGTGAAAACCTTTGGGTAGATATCAAATACTGAAACTAAATACAGCTGTGATATAACAAGAGATGGTAATATTTAACTAAATTATCCTCTATAGTACCATTAATATTTAACTAAATGTCATTATAATTTACACAAAAACAGCACTTCACAAAGAGCTAGGCCACAAATGCCCAAAACTAACTCAAATATAGAAAAAGATAAGAGACAACTAAGTAAAACACACACACACACATACACATCCAACCACATTGCATGACTAATTTCCTCAAGCATATGTCTACATTTCATACTCAAAATATATTACAAAACATAAATAAGGAAGATTTCCAAATCTGTAAGACGATGGTAACGTACACTAACAGATGCAAAACCTGTTAGAACATGTAAGTGAAAGAAAACAAACAGAACCATGTAAACTATGAGCATGGATCTAATCCTTTAAGTGGAGAAATAACCTAAAACTAAAAGTATGCAGATGATGAAGATTTAACAAAGGAATTCAGTATAACAACTTTACCTGAAAGTGTAGGCTGTTAATGCAGCACCCAATCCGCAAAAACAATGGGACCATAATCCTCTGGAACTCTACCATGTTAATTACTTCCAAAATTTCTTCCAGTTCACCCAGAAACATTACCTCTTTCTGGCTATTAGTTGCTGGCCAATATTTCAACAAGCCCCTTATCACAATGCTCGCTAACTTTGGCTCCTTCTCTATAAACTGCATAACACAGTAGGACAATTGCTGAAAGTAGACCCCAATAGATTTTGGCTTGTGCAAGGGGATCAAAACCCTCCACAAGAAGATTTTGTGTTCCTCTTTCAAGGGCAAAGCGAACCCGGTAATCACGCTCCCAAAAATCTCCAACAACTCACCAATACCATTGTGCTTCTCGGTCTCGAACACAAACCGATAAAATATATTGTTAATAGATTTCCGAATATAGGGTCTATGCACCATGAACTTCCCATAAATCCTATGTAGAATCGTCTTCAAGCAATCTCTCTCCCTAGGATCCTCCGAATCAAACAATTCAAGCAATCTGGCAATAAACGAATGATCAATATACTTTTTTGCCACCCTGGCATCGAGGCGCGGAGAAGAGATAAACTTAAGCAGCAATTCAAACACAAGTTGCAAATGTGGCCAAGCAGGATCAAACATAGGTTCATCATCATCATTCTCACCACCACCACTTGCCCTATAATTAGGAGGGAAAACTCTAAACAAATTAATAGCACACATTCTACACATGGCAAGAATAGCAGGCTCACTAAACGTCATTGACCCACAAGCCACAAAATCAACAAGCTCAACCAAAGTCTTCCTTTTAACATCTTTATCTGCAATGCTCTTACCAGGGTCAGTGAAATCAAATGTGACACAACAAAGGCTCAATTTGCTCACAAACAGGTTCATCTTCTCACCATTAGGAACATCCTTAAACGGCACCAAGGGTTCAATTCCGGACACCATGCTCGCCGGAAACACCGCCGACGACGAAGCCCGCTTCGCTCCGGATGTTCCGCCGCTGTGCGGCCTGTGGCATCTTCCGGCGGCGCGCGGCGAATCAGCGGAACGGGCCGAGTCACACCGAGTCGACTCGTCCGAGTCGGGTTTCAACGACTTCCGAGGAAGCTTGCTGAGGATTTGCTTGAGCATTGCGACCCAGATGCTGAAATCAACGAATTACGAACCTTTCAGGTGAAAACTGAACCCATGAAGGAAGAATCGGAACCAATCGAACCCGGGAGCGTTGATTTCCGCAAAAGCTTCGAAAAGGAGGAAGCCGAAACCCTAGATCTCGGTCACCAGAAATTCCGAATGTGGGATGTAGCGTGAAATTGAGATCCACATTTGAAATGGGTTCGAGGAAATTTTCGATTTTGCGGCGCACATTGATGGAAAAATCAAATCTTGAAGGTTGTGGCTTGAGGATGACGAAGAACGTGAACAAAATTAGGAAGGGTGAAGCAGAGAAAGGGAAAGGGAGCATAAAAAGAATATGTTTATCACAAAAGGAGTAAAGAATAATGAGAATTTTAGATTTGAATCAAAGATTCTCACATTCTCAACACAATTGTTCCAAATTATCTTGGGAATGTGAGAGGAAGAGAAAAGAAACTTGAGGTTGAATGTGAGAGCTTAGGGCAAGTATAATTATGAATGTGGTGGTGATAGAGATAATGGAGCTATGCAAAGATTTTGGGCAATGGAAAGAACCCTCTTAGCTGTTTCTTTCTTCTTCTAGTTATTGATTCTCCATGAAAATGAAAGGAAAACGGAGGAAATGGAGAGAAAAACATAGTTTTAAAAACCAGATCCGAACCGGTTAAGGTACTGGGTCAGTCGGTCAAAGGTTGAACTGGTGAGTCATTAGTTAAACCGCATGACTCGATTTTTATTTATTTTTATTAAAAAAATATTTATATTAAATATATTTTATACTTATAAATTTTAATAAATTCATATCTTATTTTAAATTTCAATTTTTCTATCTTATTTAGAATTATTTTTATTTTTATTTTGTAAAAGTACAATGAGTTTGTATTTTTCTTTTTAGTTTCAACAAAAATAAGAATAAAGTTGCTTCTTAGGGTGTATTTGTTTTATTAGTTTTAAAAATATTTTTTGTAGAATAATTTATGTACCTGTTTGAGGGCACACTCGTAATCTTTTAGGGGGCCGAACAGAAGTTTTAGGTAGATTCTTCAGAGGGGGGAGGTACCTGCAAAAGGCACTCCGACGCTCAAGTCAGGACAAGCACGATTTTCTAGGGTAATAAATGAACAGTGACGTACCTCGATATAAGTGACCTATTTATACTACCACTGGTGGGCCTTGTCAGTAGTGGGCCTCTTCTAAAGCTTACCAAATTAGGTAATACGACGTTAATCGGCTGATTAAGTCTTAATCATGCGCTTATCCTTGTTAACTGTGATCAATACTGTAATCCTTGTTTTATCCTTCTGCACATCGCCGAGCCGACAGGAAAAGGCTTGGGATGTTGGACGTCTTCGGCTGTTGGCCGGGCCGACAAGTACTTGCTCAGTTATCCTACTAGGTCGGCGTTTGGCCGAGCCAATACATTGCATATGGAGACGCATCACGCTGATCTTATCGGTCTTCAGCCGAGCCAAGATTGCTAGCAGACTCTTCTCGGCCTTCGGCCGCATGCCGAGCCGATGTTAACGTCAAGGTTTGTGTAGGCATGGTTCAGTCCGCGTGGGTGCCTAACGGAACGGCACGTGTTGGTCCACGTGACCGATCGGATCATCCCGGTACACACGCCCCCCAACCTTCAGGAGTGAAACGACGCAAAGGGTAAATTTGATGTTTCGGTTGTGGGGATTAGTGAAATGTGGGGAGTTGTGTCCTTTGAGGGAAGGCCAAGGGTTACAACTGGTGGGACGCGAAGGGTTGTATCCGTTGGGCATTAATGACGCATGCGAGGGGTTATAACTGCTAGTGGAATGCACAGGGTTGCAACCGTTGCGGGAATGCCAAGGGTTATAACCATTGGGTATTAATGATGCATGCGAAAGGTTATGCATTGTGGACCATTGGATCTAACTGATCCAATGGTGTACAGAGGGGTGTGGCGTTTGATATAGTTACAAGGAACGCCTATAAATAGGCGTGTGGTGGGGACCTAAAAGGTATGCGTTTATTACTTGCTCCGAGCCGAAGTCAGTGCAACTGTAGCATTCAAGCGTTTGTTCATCGAGATCAACCAAGCTTCACTTCTAGGTACGTTAACATGGCAGATATGGATGTTGTTCACATTGGCTTCTCTAGGGACACAGGAGGCTCCACTGGCTCCGGGTCGAACGCTGTGCCGGACCGAGACGATGTGTCGGCTTCGGCCTCCAATGGGGAGGATAATGCGGAGTCTGTAACATCCCAAATTTTTCTACTAATACTACAAATTATTATTATTTATTTTTGTATTTATGAAGATTATTTCCTTATAATTATTTTGATTAATTAAATGAGTTTGATTGAATTTTTAAAGGTTTTTAATAATAATCATTTATGAAAATTATTTTGTATAATATTATTAATTATGATATTTTTGTTATAATTATTATTTGAAGAAAATCATGTTTTAAATTGTATTGATATTTTATTTTGATATATATATACGTTATTTATTTATTTATTTAAAAAACCAACTTGCAAAATTCACAAATAGAAAAACAATTTTGAACATTATTTTAGGAAATCAAAGACATACATTTGATAAAACTGGACATGGTTATAATCAAAGCAAGAGTATGCCATCAAAAGGAAAGGATAATGTTTTTAAAAGAATTCAACCTTTTAAATACAAAGAAAATTTTATGAAGCAAATCACATGCTTTTATTGTTGTAAAAAGGGACATACAATAAGAAGTTGTTATTCCAAAAAATATGGTGTTCCTAATGGTGATATGATTTGGATTATAAAAGGCCAAAGGCTGGGAACTAACAATCAAGGACCCTTCACATGGGTACCTAAATCCATTATTTTTTGACTTTGTTGTAGGAGTGCTTAAGAGCCAAGAGTTTGTTGTGGTATCTTGATAGTGGCTGCTCAAGAGACATGACTGGAGATCCTTCAAAGTTTTTAAGTCTGAAACTAAAGCATGAAGGATATGTGACATATGGTGACAATAATAAAGGAAAGATTCTAGGATGTGGAAATGTTGGTAACTCTTCTTCCTTAACCTTGATTGAAAATGTGTTACTTGTTGAAGGGTTAAAACACAATTTGTTAAGCATAAGCCAATTAAGTGATAATAGATTTAAGATTGAATTTGATAATTCTTGTTTGAATTGTGATAAATTGACTAATGGGATAAAATTCATTGGAAAAAAGAATTAATAATATTTACATGTTATACTTAGAGCATTCAATCACAATCTCTAACACAAAATGCTTGATCACTAAAGAAGATAATGTTTGGCTTTGGCATAGAAGAACTGCATACATACACATGAATCATCTAAACAAATTAAGTATAGAAGAGTTAGTAGTTGGACTACCTAAACTCAAGTTTAGGAAGGATAAACTATGTGATTCCTACCAAAAAGGCAAGCAAGTAAAGGTTAGTTTTAAAAGCAAAAATATGAAGTCTATACCCAGTTGTGTTATACTTGACGGTAGAACTAGACTTCCAAGTGTGTAAGTGACATCACCCGAGTAAACCTGAGTGGGGATTTATATCCTGGTTAGCTATGACCGAGCAAGCGCATTGGGCGTGAAAATGGTTGGGGTAGTTTCAGTAGGATGAGATGTCACTTATATTGCTCTATTGTTAGGGAGATCTCCTAGGTGAATGCGTGACAATGCATTAAATGATTTATATGCATTGATATCTGTCATTAGTTGCATTTACTGCATGAGTGTATAATAGAGTGTATGGTGTGACTCTATGAGAATGATTGGTGATTTGATGATGGTGTAGCATAGATGTTTATTTTTATGCTTACATGATTGATTTTTAAACTTTAGCTTACCCTTCTGTTCCATGTGGATACACAAAGTCTGTTTCAGGGTCTGAGCGGGCAGAAAGCGGGAGTGAATCTTCGTCGGTGATAGTTTCTGATGATCGTCCGAGTAGGGGTGGCCCGGCTCCTAGGCGTTTTCCCCCGATAGTGACCCCTGGATACTCATGGGTGCTCGGGGAGGTTGGCAGCGTATACTCTCGGTATACCGATAAGAACTCTATCGCTCTGTTCATCTCGTGATAGACCATGGGCCAAGGGCCTAGTGACCAGAGCTATGGCTAGAAGAATACAGGAAGAGTTGGATCTTGTGAAGACTAGTGGACTTGTCAAGCCCAAGGTAATCTTCACTTGGAATGCTCTATCATGAAGAGAAGGCATAGTTCTACTTGTTTATATTGTACAGTTTATACATAGTCTTTTGTATAGGTTATTTTTGGCCTTTGTATTTGTGAGGCAATTTACTTACTTTTCCTAGTGATTGTATATTGATTTTGAGGTAGGTTACTTGGAGAGTTTAACTCCATTTAACCTCCCTAGTTGATACATTCTTTTTATATTTTTTCAGTAGGGAAAAGGGGGTGACATTTAGCAATGCTTGAGGGTGTAACAAGTAATTGGGCCAGAACTGGGCCTAGGCAAAATTTTGCATATTGGACTCATTTTGCTCCTAATTTTTCATAGATTTGATTTAGCTAGGTCTCATCATCATATGATGAACCTAACTAAACCAAATCAAACATTTTTGAATTAATTCAAGGAGCAAACATGAACCAAGGCCGCCTAGCTCTCCTCCTTGTTCTTTGGCCGAAATTAGCTTGTTGCTCTTCAAGGTTTGAAGCTTGCCTTGCAAGCTTCTAAACCTTGGAAGGTTAAGACAACCTTACCATGGTTCTTAAGTGAACCATGGTCAAGGTTGGCTTCTCCTACAAGCTACCTAAACCGTGGGAGTTAAAGCTTACCCTACCATGGTTCCTAGTGAACCATGGTTAAGGATAGCTTCTCCTACAAGCTACTTTTCCCTATATATTTCTAATTACTTCATTTGTAATCACTTTTGAGCAAATTGAGAAATAATATTCAGATTTCTCTCATCAAGAGTCCATTCTAAAACCGTGGAGAATTCTCTCTAAGGTTTCACCAAGGTTCTTCAACCTTAACCATTGGTTCCTCAAGCTTCGACAGTAAGCAAGGAGTAACCGAACCACCTTGAGGCTTCTCCTCCCTTGAAGACCTCCTCATGGAGCTTCAAGTTTCTTCCAAAGGTCTACCTCAAGAGTTCACGGTCCTAAGCATGGAGCAAAGTGAAGGAACATCAATCTCCTCACCTAGTTCCATCATCTCGGCTGTAAAGCTCTTGACTTTTCCCGAGGAAGAGGAACCTTCCCCCGTTTTCTTCCAACCGTGCCGAGGGGACGGAGGGCCGAACCTGGACTTCGTGTATTTGGATCAAGAAACGTGCAAATACCAGTATTTTTACGTGTATGACTACATGTTTCGGCATTTGAAGGTGACACTTCCCTTCGACGATACTTTGCGGGTATATTGCGGCTCTTGAATGTGGCGCCGAGCCAACTTCATCCGAACACGTGGGCGGTGATGCAAGGTTTCCGACACCTTTGCTTGGAACTTAACATCAAGCCGACCCCTCATTTATTTCTATACTATTATTCGTCTCGGCCAACGAAAAAGGCTAAATGGTTGTCCTTGGTTCGGCACGGCGATTGCTTGTTACAACCGTTCACAACTTCCTACAAGAATTTTAAAGTAGGATTTATCAAGGTGA